CCTCTTGTCTGGTCTGAAAATTATATGTCGGAGTTTAGTCTCTGCCACTGGTGTTGTATTCTTGTTCTTTCTCCTTCTGCCACGAAGCATTGGCCAAAGGATACACCTTTTTACACTGCCCAAAAGACAAACCGATCAAAATAGAATCGGTCTCTTTCTCTACCCTCCAAATACTTCACGACAAACTTTCGAACAGTGAATCCCAAAAGGATTCTCTTTCTCACCAATATCATTTGAATACGACCCGAAATTGAATTATTACAAGCGAAGTGGTTAGTTCTTATGATTTTTTATCGATCTCTACGCCCTTTATATTGGCAAGTTTTCAGCGGTTTCATTCACCCTCTTTGGTGCTTCTGCCCTGCAGGTTCTGTAAATTTCTTCAATGGCGGCCTCCAACTCTCATTCTAATGAAACTGGAGGTGGGTTTGTTTTTTTTTTTTCGATGTTTTTGATGTTGGGTGTTTTCTTGTCTGCCCTTTGTTGTTAATATGATTGTTTCTGCTTGTGTGCTGATGCATTAGCTATTGGAAATGGAAGTGAATCTGACTTGAAGGTTCATGTTTTCTCATCATCATTGGAGGTAAGTTCTCCAAACACCCTATGTTTGATGGATCATTTTTTTTTTTTTTTGGAAGAGTCCAAGTCCACAGCTAGTAGATATTGTTCGTTTTGGTCGGTTATGTATCGCTGTCAGCTTCACAGTTTTAGAATGCGTCTACTACGGAGAGATTCCCACACCCTTGTAAGGAATGCTCTGTTCCCCGCTAAAGTGGACAATATCTGCTAGCCGTAAGCTTGGGCCGTTAAAAATAGTATTGGAGCTAGATACTGGGCAGTGTGTTAACAAGGACGTTGGTCCCCTTGGTTGGAGAGGGGAATGAAACATTCCTTATAAGGGTGTGGAAACCTTCTCTAGTAAACGTGTTTTAAAACTGTGAGGCATGATGATACGTAAAGGGCCAAAACGAAGAATATCTGTTCGCGGTAGACTTGAAGCGATATGTTTTTGAGATGGTTATTAGAGGCTGTGAGGCACTGAAACAATTGCAAATAGAAATGACCCATTATGGTTTCTTTGAATTTGGCCTTTAAATGACTAAACTTCCATTGCTGTTGAAAATGTTTTTCTCTTCCTTTCAAAACAGTTGCTCGAAAAACTTCATGAGAAATGGAGTTTGAAGAAGAAACCATATCCAGCAATGTATTCCAGCATTTTTGGTGGAATTATTACAGATCCAGCTATGATGATGATTCCGATCGATGATCACATGGTTCATCGAGGCCACGGCGTGTTCGATACAGCCATCATTTTAAATGGGTTGGTACATGAGAAAGTTCATCAAACATGTTAAACTGTTCTAGACTTCATTACTAACTTTGGTTCTTTACAGACATTTGTATGAGTTGGATGCCCACATCGACCGCTTTCTAAGATCGGCTGCAAAAGCGAAGATCTCGTCTCCGTTCCCCCGGTCGGTTCTTCGGAGCATTCTTATCCAATTGACAGCAGTATCAGAGCTCAAGAAAGGCACCTTAAGGTACTGGTTAAGTGCAGGACCTGGAGATTTCCTTCTCACGCCCTCTGGACATGGCAATTCTGCATTCTATGCAGTAGCCATAGACGACGACTTCTCTCAATGTAAAGAAGGGGTTAAAGCCATAACATCGACCGTGCCGATAAAGACGCCACAGTTTGCGACGATGAAGAGTGTGAACTACCTACCAAATGTGCTAACCAAAATGGAAGCTGAAGAGAAAGGAGCATTTGCTTCCATTTGGGTTGATGATGAAGGATATGTTGCAGAAGGTCCAAATGTGAATGTTGCATTTATAACCAAGGAAAAGGAGCTTATCTTGCCTTGTTTCGATAAGGTTCTCTCGGGCTGCACTGCACTCCGACTTCTAGCTCTAGCTCCGAAGTTGGTCGAGGACAGGAAGCTGAAGAGCGTCGGAACTGCGAACCTTACGGTTGAGGAAGCCAAAGACGCTGCTGAAATGATGTTTGTAGGAAGCACACTTCCTGTACTGCCAATCATCTCATGGGATGATGAACCGATTGGAGATGGTAACTAACATCTTTTGTTATGATCTTAACTTTTGTTGAAGTGATAATGAATGAAATGTTCTCATTAATCGTTTGTTACAGGACGCGTCGGGGAATTGACGATGGCGCTTTCGGATCTTCTTTGGGACGATATGGTTTCTGGTTCTGAAATAGAGAGAATACCAGTTCCATACACTTAAGGATGTCAAAGGCTGCTGCTGCTCAAGGAATGGTATCAGCTGAAAATGAACAGCCACCTGATTCTTACTGTCATTGTTGTCTCTCTTTTTTCGCCATCACTGCTTTCTCTGAACACGAATAAAAGGAAAATATCTATTCGATCCGTTCGAATAACGATTTTTTTCGGTGTTACTGTGTATATTCATCACGAACTCGATCGTCTTACCTTCCGAAACTTGACATCGACATCAATGGAAAAGGCCAATGTGCATTCATTCTTAAGATGTTTCAATGATTTTGGAAGTGCCTAAAACATTTGTTCTTGTGTTCTTCACAAATATGAACAACAATTAAATTTGAGAAAAGTTGTAATACTTAACAAAGTTTGAAGTACGAAACTCAATGGGTTCTAAGAAAGAGGATCGTGCTTGAATGAGCGATTGACAGGTCTTGTTCAAGTGTTGAAAGAACGAACGGGACACTTGGGAGTTTCTTCTCGTCTAGCTCCTTGATAAAGTTGCAAAAAACAAATAGAATTTGCAGTAGTTCAGAAGATCTCTCTTTCAACACTCGAACTTCAAAAGTTCAAGACTATATCTAGACTAGCTCGGCTCTACTCCTATCAGGGTTTGAATCCTTGGGGTAGAAGTGAGCGTGAGCGGCGGAAAAACAAATAGAATTTGCAGTAGTTCAGAAATCTCTTTTTCAACACTCGAATTTCAAAAGTTCAAGACTATATCTGGACTAACTCGGCTCTACTCCTATCAGGATCTGAGTCCTTGAGGTAGAAGTGAGCGTGATTTTGAAGGAAAAAGAGAAACGAAGAAGCAGACGATCCTTCGAAAGAATACCTTAGTTCAAGAATGATAGATCGAAAGAGTAAGTAAGTTCAAGTAAGTTCAAGATGGATATATCAATTGATGTGTTTATTTATAGAAAGTTTATAACTTTGAAGCATTGGTTTATTATTTTTGTCAAATTATTTTGTGTTGGAAAAAATGTCCCAAAAAAATCAAGGACGAAAGCAGAATGAAGATGCTATATTTAAACACCCACCCTGTAACTTCCCACGAGTGACAGCGCTAGAAGAAGAGGGAGAGAGGAGAAAATTTCGATCGATTTACGCGGATTGGTATCAGGATTTGGCGTGCTGCTGATCTTCGGCTTCGGCATCAATGGCGACGGAAAAATCACCTACGCCGGCATCGAGATCAGGCTTGAGAAAGCCAGTCTTCGTTAAGGTCGAACAGCTCAAGCCTGGCACTAATGGTCACACACTCATCGTCAAGGTCGTTAGCTCCAATACCGTGCTGCAGAAAGGTCGATCGGTGTCACAGCACCTTCGACAGACGCGGATCGCTGAGTGCCTTATTGGAGACGAAACTGGAACCATTTTGTTCACGGCGCGTAATGATCAGGGTATGAATTTTGAAATCTTCCGTTGCTGTTACGCTTTATGTAGTGTTTTTCATGAATTGAGTAGGGAAAATTAGGTATTGTTGGATCGCAGGTGGGGAGGCTAAATCAATGATTATGTAGATTGGAATGTTTGAACTATGTGCCCTAGAGCGATTATTAAACAATATGGATTGTGAGATAGGGTTTGGCGGATTACCTACATCTTACCGATGCGCTTAAAGGAACTTGAAACTAGAAATATGCATTGATTTTGCTCTACAAAACGTAATTTCATTATCAGTAGCTTGAACTGGATGCGTTAGAATGGCTAGGAAGAATCAAATCCCTGTGGTTTCCTGTTATTGACCATAATCTGCAGCTTGATAAATGAAGATTTGAACTGAAACTGAAGTGTTTGATGTTAATTTCTCACAAATCCCTAGCCCAATCTGCTTCTAGCTGGTCTGCAAACTATTGCCACTTGAATCTCTAGCTTTGAAATGAAATCTCTGCAATGAACTCATTTATCATGTTGTCTTATATGGTTATTTGTTTGCTCAGTTGATCAAGTAAAACCTGGGACAACTATCATTCTTCGAAATGCAAAGATCGACATGTTCAAAGGATCAATGAGGCTCGCAGTCGATAAATGGGGCCGCATCGAGGTCGTCGAGCCCGAAAATTTCGTCGTCAAGGAAGACAATAATCTATCTTTAATTGAGTATGAACTTGTGAATGTTGCAGAGGAATGAGAAGAAGAAGGCCAACTTTATGCATATAATCAATGGACATTGATATCAGTTTCCAGGTAATCTGCTGATGTGAATATATATATATATATAGAACATCGCTATATTATAGTTTTGTATGGGTGAACGAACTGCCCCTTAAGCTCACACACAGTTTTCAATCTGCTGGGCATGTATATTGTATACTCTCTAGTTGTTATCCAACCTGGTTTGTTTATCTTAAAACTTCCGAGATCTATTTGATATTTTTGAAATTTAAAGACCGTGATAGCTCAATTGTCTTGATTTGTTAGCTAGTTAACATTTTTTATATTTTATCCTTCGGGGACATCTGATATAGAGAAGATTAGCATGACCCTTGTGCAAGAATGACATGCACAAATCGAGAAATGGTATAAGAGTCACACATCGTGATAGCGAGAACAACACTGGGCCCCAAGGGGAGCGAATTGTGAGGTCCCACTTGGAAAGGGTCTCCTTGATAGACGCATTTTAAACCCGTGAAGCTGACATCAAAGTGGACAATATCTTCTAACAGGCATCTTGATAATATCTTCTAACAGGCATCTAAGGTTAACAAGATATGAATATGGGTACCAACAACTTTATGCAAAAAAAAAAAAAAAAAAAAAAAAAAAATTTATTATTTTCTAATTTAAAATCTCAAGCACTGTTAAATACTATTCAAAATATCAGAAACAATCCGGCAGCCTTGGATGGCCGCCACCGTCCCCGTCAAAACCTCCGACAGCACCGGAACGCGAGGGTTTTTATTGAACTCTTCCAAGCAGCTATTCACATTCCTTATCGCAATCTCCAAAGTGTTTCTGCCGGTGGTGTAGTCTCCGGCCGCGACAGCCCTTTCGATTCCCGGAAAATCGCCGGCAGTATACCCCGTCGATAACCAGCAACCGTTCAAAATCGTCTTCAATGCGGAATCCGGCGTGCTACGGAGAAGGTCGCCGAGTTTCTGCGCCATTAATCTGGTATTTCTCTCAGCACATCCAATGGCGATGACTGCGAGTCCACGGACGTCGGCGGTCTGGCTTCAGGAGGAGGATTCGAAGCAATCGGAACAAATGACCGGCTGTTCAGTCTCGCCGCAGAGGCTTCCGATCAAGGCGGCGTCTGGTTTCACGTGAGAAAAGAGAGCGAAGAGGACGAGAAATTGAAGCATGGAATTGGAGAGATTCATGTTTGATTTGTTAAATCTTCGGAATATCAGTGTCTGGATTAGAAGAACGATGATCTTCCATTGCAGGTATTCAAATCTGAAATCTGTGAAGCATTTGATTCATTGCTGCTTTGATCTTTTTTGAATTTGCATTTTCCATTTTTTCCATTTCGATCTTCGATGGTCTCCTTGAATTAATTATTTCCTTTTTTTCCATTTCAGAATTTAATCCCAATCTTAGACTAGTATTATTAGGTAATTAATTTCAATAAAAATTAACTCTAAAATATTAAATTAAAAATATATATATATATATGTTCCTGCTGCAGAATTCGACCACCCCAACGTCCGTCGTCTTCCTCTGCTCCGGTAGACCGTCGGAGTGTAGACTGTACATTAGACGCTCACTTCCGCTCATTTCAAATCAATGTTTGTGAGAGCGCCGCTGCTTAAGGTTTCATCATTCTATTCAATCCCATGTCATTCTCTGGTTCCGTTGTATCTCTCTTCCGCAATTTGTTCTTCTCCACGGACACCTTTATCTATCCGATGCCATTCATCTCTCCCCACAGCCCACGATCCATCTTCTTCGGCTCCCTCTGAATCCCTCGATGTGGTGCATAATCGTTGGAGGCCCATGTGTTTGTATTACACACAGAGCAAGTGTACAATGGTATTTTTTTTAATTCTGGATTTGAGCTGTTGCACTCGCGTTTTTCGAATGCCTCTTTGTTTTCTTTGCTTACATTTTCCGAAGTGACTGAAGATTCTACTTGATTGTGTGTGCCATGTGGTTAGTTTGGTGTTGTACACCACATGTTCGACGATATTCCTCAGAGAACTTTTGCTCGTTTTTCTTGCGTGTTAAGCTGCCTGCTAGTTTAATTTGGTAACCCACCAGAACAAAATTGGAAATGATACGAATTTACGACCATTTTCCACTATTGATCAGACTATGGTCTTATGTTGTGTGTTGTAGTGGTTCTGACTGAAGTTCCCTAGCTGAAATTTCGCAGCCAAGTTTAGATATTCATGTGACCCTGTTTTGTAGATGGATGATCCACTCCACATAAAGAAGTTCAATCATGATATCTCCAGGGAGCTTCAGGTAGATGTTGCTAGCTCAAAACATATGCGAACTCAGGATATTGAGTTTTTTCTGGTGCTTGATTTGGAGGGTAAAGTTGAAATAATTGAGTTTCCAGTCATATTAGTCAATGCCAAGACACTGGATGTGACGGGTTTTTTCCACAGGTTCTACCTGCTCACTCTTGCTCTTTGTTATGCATTTATTTATCTTTCCGCTCGGCAGATTTTATATTTTATGCATCTCTATATTTCCCTGTTACCTGTTTTTTCTTAATAGATCTGTAAAGATTTTAATCTCAAAGAGCATGTAGAAGGAATCCCTTTAAGGCTTCCCCTCAAGGTTTTTAAAACGACCTTGAGGGGAAGCCCGAAAGGAAAAGTCCAATGAGGACAATATCTATTAGCGGTGGGCTTGAGATGTTATAGGATGGCTTACTACCCCGATGGACATATTGATTGCATGTAATATAAGCATGGAGTAAAATGTTCGCTTAATTTGGAACCATTTTAGCATATGTAATGTGTAGTTAGGAAAATCGGCTTCTGTGCGGTTGAGAGATGACACTGACCGGTTTATTATGCTTGTAACCCCATCATGTAAAATGGTTTAACTTCTACGAATGCCAACAAATGTTCTTTGGATGATTAAGAACAAGAAATTTATGGTTTTTCTTTTTTGGTTCTACGTTCTTTGACGACTGCCTTAAATCCTTCCTCAGGTTTGTTAGGCCTTCAAGAATGAGTGAACGAAGGATAAATGAGTACATTGAAGGAAAATATGGCAAGTTTGGAGTTGACCGGTATGTCTAATCTATGTGTGGTGAAGGCTTGATAATGTTCGACATTATTGTGGATTCATTTAGTTCTTAGGCTTCAGTACAAATATATTTCCATGCATGATTGTATGGTGTACATGTCCAATGCTAATCAGGTAGGATGTGGGATCCCGCATCGGTTGGAGAGGGGAACGAAGCATTGTTTATAAGGGTGTGGAAACCTCTCCCTAGTAGACGTATTTAAAAACCGTGAGGCTGACGGTGATATGTAATGGGCCAAAGTGGACAATATCTGCTATCGGTGAGCTTGGGCTGTTACAAATGGTATCAGAGCTAGACACCGAGCGGTACGCTATCGAGGATGCTAGGCCCCCAAAGGGGGTGGATTGTGAGATCCCACATCAGTTGGAGTGGAGAACGAAGCATTCCTTATAAGAGTGTGGAAATCTCTCCCTAGTAGACGCATTTTGAAACTGTGAGGCTGACGGCGATATGTAACGGGCCAAAGCGGATAATATCCGCTAGCGGTGGGCTTGGGCTATTACATAGGACTACTTTTTCTTCCATATGTTTACAAGTGCCGTTAAGATTCTAATGGACTTCTTTTTACTAGCTGATAGTTCCATATTATATTTGCAGTGTCTGGCATGACACAGCCATACTGTACAAGGATGTTATACAACAGTTCGAAGATTGGCTGGTTGAGCATCAACTATGGAGGAAGGAACTGGGTGGTGTTCTTGATCGAGCAGCATTCGTGACATGGCAAGCCTCCTTTTCTTGATCTACTTTTAAGCTTTACAATTCCTTGCTAAATTGTTCATTTATTCATATTGTGAATGTGCTATGTGTAACAGAAGTGTTGATGATTTATGCCATCTTTTACTTGTACCAGTGGAAACTGGGATATAAAAACTCAGGTCCCACATCAATGCAGCGTGTCAAACATGAAACTTCCTGACTATTTTATGGAGTGGATCAATATCAAAGATGTTTATCTCAACTTTTACCAAAAGAAGGTACGATAGTCTGTCCGTCCGTCAAAATAAGAGTTTGTAGCATCTTGAATGGGGCGTAACATCACATCAGCTAATTAAGGGGTTGATCACGGGTTTATAAGTAAGGAATACATCTTCATTGGTTTGAGGCATTTTGGAATCAAAGCCACGAGAGCTTATGCTCAAAGTGGACAATATCATGCCATTTTGGAGCCCTCGAACAAAGTACACCCTTTGTTCGACACTTGAGTCACTTTTGACTACACCTTTAAGACTAGCAACTTCTTTGTTTGACCGTTGAGGATTCTATTGACATGGCTAAGTTAAGGCCATGACTCTAATACCATGTTAGGAATCACGACTCTCCATAATGGTATGATATTGTGCACTTCGAGCATAAGCTCTCATGGTTTTACTTTGAGCTTCTCAAAAGATCTCATACGAATGGAGATAGTACTCCTCACTTATATACCCGTGATCTTCCACTAAATTAACGATTAGTTTCTCTGATAATGGAGCTTACATGACCCATTATTGATGAAGTTTTTTACTTTGGATGGTAACTGATAGGCGACAGGAATGACGACGATGATGAGACAACTCGAAATACCCTTGGTGGGAAGCCATCATCTTGGTATAGATGACACAAAGAACATCGTGAGAGTGTTGCAGAGAATGGTTGCCGATGGTGCACATTTGCAGATCACTGCTCGTAGGAATCCCAATTCTCCTCAACATGTTAAGTTTCGTTTTGAGAACCGTATTTAATGGCGGCCATCTTCAGCAACTTATCATCAATATTTGTCTGGGTGATTCTTAAATTAGCTACATGAGATCTCATGAATTGTAAAACTATGAGCTCGTGAAAATGTCCTCGTAGGTGTATTTTTCAGCGCCTTTTTTTCTCGTTCTAACAATGACACAATGGCACGGAGGAGGTTGAATATTTAGAATGATAATTAATATTTTATTTATTGAGTTAGGCTCGAATATTAGATGGATAGCATGATGATTCGAACTATTATATTTTAGCTAGTGTTCATGCATTAATTATGTAACAACTTCTATTAGCCTCACGGTTTTGAAACACATCTACTCGAGAGAGATTTCCACACCCTTGTAAGAGATGTTTCGTTCCCTTCTCCAACTAATGTGGAATCTCAAAATCCACCCTACTTAGGGGCAGCGATCGCCCGACTCTGATACCACTTGTAACCCACTAACAGATATTGTCCGTTTTGGTTAATTACGTACAAAACGTGTCTTTTAGAGAGAAGTTTCAACTCTCTTGTAAGGAACGTTTCGTTCCCTTATTCAAATTAGGTGAAATTTAGTTGCCTTAATAAATAAATTAAAATATATATATATATATATATATATATATATATATATATATATATATATATATATATATTAATTAGAAGTCAAATTTTAAAAATTTTAGTTTGCATTTTATAAAAAAAATATTTGTGAAGTTTAAATTTTTAAAAACCTTTTTAAAAATAAATAAATAAATAATTTTTAAACAAACGCACAAAGAATTACAAATTGGAACCCTCCTTCCTCTCTTTTCCCGTTTAGGGCCGCCGGGCGAGAAGACGGCCGAAGTCGACAAGTATTATTAGTAGTATGTGAATTGCGGGAGTTGGCCTTCGAAGTGGAGCTTCAAGATTATGGAGTCTCAGCTCAAGAAGAGCGCTAAACCCAAATTGCTGAACCCTAATTGGGCGCTACTCCAACAAGTCATTCTTCTTCCCTCCATCCCTCCTTTTTCCAGTCTCTCTTTCTATCACTGATTTTTATCTTCTGATCCTGCAGAAACTGAACCCTCATGGTTCAAAGCGATCCTCCAGTGTACCGAAATCCGAAGCCTCATCAAAGACCCTTTTAGGTAACAGTTCTTCTACCCTGGGTTCATATTGCTTTCTTAGTTTCCCATTGATATTTATCTTGTTCGATGAACTCTGTGTATTATGAAATTTATCTGGTTTTGTTAACTGAGCCATGCTCTTGTTTGATGAATTCTGTGTTACTTAATATCTCTATTTCTGTGTGATTGGGGAAGTATGAGCTTCACTGATTCAAACACAGTAAGTGAAAACTGGGTTTTGCTTCAATCATCACTTTAGATGGTGTATGTTTGCGTTAAGCTTTTGATTTTTCTAATTATTTTATCGTGAAGTTCTTAGTTCACGAAATGTTTAGGCTTGTTTTTTGTTTCATTCTAATGAATCCACCTAGTTTTTGTTGTCATAATCAGTGTATTAAATTTCGATGGGTGACATTTTCATTGATATTTCCACATGTCCATGGATATTAACATAATGGGTGGATGAACATTTCCATTATATTGTGAAAAAATAGATGAAACATCAGATAAAAGTAACAAAATGTCACTAATGAGATCTCGACATTTTAAACTTTGGTCATAATGTCATGATTTTGTTAACTTGTGCGACCTGGGTTTACAGGAAAACGCAAGGATAGATCTGATGAGGAGTCAGATCACTCCAACAAGAAACTTCTCATTCCAGTGAACGATGACTTTAGGTAATCTCTTAGAATTATTTTAGATTACTTGAAGGACATAGTAGTTGTTGTCTACTTACTGTAGATGCAAAGTGAAAAAAAAAAACTACTTGTATAATCACCAACTTCTGGCTAAAAAAGAAATTTAATTATAATTCAGTCCTCGACTATCATAAGTAGCAAGCAAGTTCATGTGACTAAATTATGAATTACCTTGGAATTAAACAAATCAAGTTCTGTGTGGCTTCTAGCCCCTTAGTATTGGCAAAATAATAATAAATCAAAGCTCGAATTTACTTGATTCCCTGCTTTTGTTTTCTTTGCCAAGAAAGAATCGAATTTAATACTCCAAATAACAACCCCCCCCCCCCCCCC